ATATTCTCACAGCAATTTATAAAGAAATGCAATTTGCTACTCAATCTTTTATAAAATGCCAAATGATCATTCTATTCAAACCGAGGATACATAGACTTTCAAAAGAAAAAAATAACAGAGGATAGAAATACTTACATAGGAAAATTTTCCTCAAAATCCCATCGCAAAAGTGAACACCTTCAAGCACATGTGAAGCCATTTCAGGAGRTATGGCAGGAGATGAAGGATCCATCATTAGGTCGTCACYAAAGTTTAAAAATGGATACTAAAAATTTAAAAACAACCGAAGAAGACAATCCCAAAATGCGTTCCCTCCAAATCCTAACCATGCTCAGAGACTAAATGCATATGTTAGATGTCAAGCATAAAATCTTGGAGTATCATATTGGAATATGCATTGAGAATTTTGTCTTCTTATAAATTAGATGAACACGATTAATTTACATGTTATTCATGAAACTTATTTGAACAAAAACTTCTTAGTTGTTAGTTAATGTAATTTTYGGATAACCAAAAAAATTAAATTAATGCTAAATTTTCCCACATGGTCGTATGCCAAAAGACCCCTAACCGACCACTGTTCTATGATGATAATAACGTTGTAGTTTCCCATTCAGGAGAAGTTATATCAAATCAATCAATAACAAACTGGATTTACAGTAATACAGGGAGCAGCGGTACCGCCCCTCTTGAAATATACAGTATGAAAAGGATTTTGTTWCAACAGATTCAGAATAATGTAACACTTTGATTGTACGTGTTCATAACTTAAKAAGGATATACAGTTTGTTACTATTATATCGTAATAGTCAAATGATCAAATATTGCAAATAACAACTTTGTTTGTTGTTATTTTTCAAACAAATATACCGTGTTCATACAATTTGTTCTTATGCCGAGTGGTACACCYTGATTGTACGTGTTCAGAAGATATATACATGGGTACRTAATAACAACGTTAGGATCTTCCATAATAACGTTGTACTGTTATTACAGCAATTCTCTCTAGAAGTGATTTTAATATTTAAAAGTCATAAGTGGTTTTGCAATATTTGTTAGTCACACAATAGGCAAAATAACCGAACTAAACCAAAATCAAATTAATTCGTTTTTTTAACTGTGTAACGCAACGAAATTTCAACCAACCAAATCAAACCGGGATAAGTAGAGAAAGGGATTGTTCGATCTGGCTGGATTTTATGGTTTTTAAAAAACAAAACTTATGGCTCATGGGTAAATTATTTATAGACCAAGACTGCATAGAAGATATCGAGAAAGGAGTTGGCAATTTTCAATGTATCACTACACCGTCCAATTGCAACCAAGCGGAATTATTTGGTCAAAGGCGAAGAAAGAACAATACTCGAAGAAGAGTAAAAAGCACAAATTTACAATGTTCAACAACTTACCATGCATGCAAGAACTCGATAACACATCAAACGTGAAATTAATTATACTTTTATCCTTTATTCGAGTAGCTTCACCATCCTTGCCTCTGATTAATAACACGACCAAAAATGATTTGATCATAAGTAAAGCATTAAACATCATAAGAACAAATTTACCGATTGATAGACATCATAAAATCTAAAAGGATTCAGAAATGTAGTTTAATTTGTACTTCTTAGAGATAAGAGACTA